TCGGGTTTATAATGTTTTGCTCTGTGCTTTCTCGGTTTTTGCCGCGTTGCTTGTTAGTTTGGTCTGTTTATTAGCAATGGCCACCGGCAGAGATGGTATTGGCATAAATAAAAAAATTCGATTCAAGAATGCTAATCTGTCGCTCAATGGTGTTTCGGGCATACCATACCTCACATGTATCAACCATTAAAAATCGGCTACACGTGCCTAATCTTGAGATCATATTTAACTACAAATCATTCTTCGAATGCATCAACGGCCAGAAATTACTGAATCACAGATCTTAGAAATAAGAATGAAAAGAAAAGACGGAAAGAAATGTAGACATGTTTTGCGATGGGCTGCCAATAAACGAAAAAAAAGGAATGAAAACGATAACAGAAATAACAAAGGAATTCTTTCACTTTTATTGCATCTAGTGACCATGAATACATGAAGAGAGCATGTTACTTCCGAGACAAACAATAAACTATTTTCGTATCCCCAGTGAATCATTTTATCCAATTCTAGAAAGTGGAAACCAGGCCAACTTCGCAAAGCACATGCCTTGGTCATAAATGGAAGGCCCTGTCTCCGGCAATTCATTCCCCGACCTGCATACTCTTGCATTTTGCTCTTCTTCAACACTATGATATACCACCACCAGCAGCTATCTAAACTCAGGATATACATACTCCGCGTCCCTATCCGTACAATGGTAACACCAGCTTGTAAAGTTGGAATAAATTTCAAAGAATGATTGGTGTCATCACACTTCCGGCACAGGAATCTTTTTCAAAAGGAACAATCTTGCAAGTATCTGAGGCGATTAGAGAGTTGTTTGCATTGGCAATTCCTTTTTACACAAACAATCTGGTAAAGGGTTCACATAAAAGGGTTCTTCTGAACGAAACCTTTCTGTGCCCCTAGTTCCTGAAATAGGACCTTTTCTCTTCCGCGGGGAGCCTTGCCTGTGTAACCACATTGCAGACCATCAATTATACAATAAATTTGAGAAAACTAGAAGTTGTGGATGTTTTGCAGTTACACAATAGCCAGAAATTATATATGTTGGGCTAAAAGTGATTCTCATGGAACTTCAAAGCTTTTGGTGAGAAATTGAGAAATCACATACCGTTTCCTGTGCATTTCAATAACTCTATTTGATAAATTTTTGCCATCCTTCAGAGTTCCATGCTCAAGTTTGTCAAACAGGCGAACAAGTGCTTTCCTGATGAACACACAAAAGCATAAAAACAGATTCAGTTTGCAGCATTTTATGACCATAGAATGGTATTGGGAGTAGTTCAACTCTACTTATATCCAGAAATGAAATCGGCTTGCCTGTCAGGAGATATTGTTTTCCTGTGTCCAAGAAAGCGACGATGGCCTTCAACTGCCCTCGCCATGTTTCCGGAGTACGAAGGTATAAATACGTCACTTTCAACTGAAACAATGTAGTCAAGGGCAGCCATTTGAGATGCATGATTGGTAAAAGGTTCAAGCTCCTCAACGGATGCCAACGTTTCCTGAAAGTTAAGACCAATAAATGGACAAATCATCACAGCAGTATTGACAAATTAATCCATATGTTTGGATTATAGCAACCCATCCATCCCCCGAAACTATGCATATACAAATGAATTAAAAAATCAAAATGGTATTTTTTTTACTTTCACAGACTAATAGACAGATGATTTGTACTTCCACAATTTTCCAAATAATTATTTGAATCTATGCTGACTTTGTCCTCATGATACTTTTAAGTAAGGATATCTCACCCTCTTCCCCTTGAAAATAAAAAAATCTAAATACAGTAGCAGAAGAAAGACAGCACTCACTTTCTTCATCTGTTAGCCCAGTCATACAGATCCATCAGAGTCAACAAAACTAACTTAAATGCCTCATACTTATAAATGACTGACAAGCATAACACCAAGCAAAAGATCACTTAAGATTTTACATACACTCAGCAACACCCAACCCATCACAGTTTCTTTCAGAAATGAGGTTCCTGCGGGTATTGACACCCAAAAGAAAGGCGGTGAATTTTGAAAAGATAACTTTGACACTCATGATTGACTTGCAGGTTAAATTTCCACCTTCATCCAAGAGAATTGCTGCTCTGATGTCATTTTTTACATTTCTGAAAGAAATTGAGGAGTTGTGCATGTTGATCCACATGGCTCTTGATTCATATGTCTTATCTTTGGTAACCTTCAGTGCTATATCAGCAGATTCATACTAACATGCTACGAGTGCTCACCCCAAGAAACCCTAATCTTGAAGCCCTCACAACTTTATAGATAAATTCTACTTTGGTGGTCTTTTTTCTTAATGATGTACAGCCAGATCACAGTGAAATGCACATGAATGCTATTATGTCGGATATTATAATTGTAAGTAATTTTGGCTCCAAAGGGATTAATTGGTCCAATCTGGCCTGCCCATTATCAGATTAAAATTATAATAATGTATGTGGTCAAAATATTCAATTAAATATTGTGCATCACACTTTTCATCTATAATCTCTGTAAATTTGAATGTTGTTCAATGTTCACTTCAAGCCCAACCACGGACATTTCAAAATTCTTATAATATTCCATTTGTCGCTCAGTTACTCAACAAAATGAAGAAAATCAAGCATAAGCATCAACCATACCTTGCTCATCAGTATTGGATAACGGGATCGCAGAGCAGCCATATGAGAATCGCCCCCATATATCTTTCCAGCAGCAATATATATCGGTGTGTTTGATGGGTACCCAAGAGCGCTAAGAAAAATCCCAACCTCCTTTGGAGTTAAGGGGCAAAACCCTTTGGATCTCCGTTCTATGGGATCAATTTCCTTTTCTTTCCAGTATGAGGTGTTTTCTCTACAAGTTCCAAATGAGAAACTCAGGTATCCAAAAAGCAAGGACTATCAATAAAATAACAGAACTGCTCGCCATATCAGCATTTCCTACCGAATGATCCTTAGTTCATCAGCTTCGGCTGGAGATAAATCCTGTGTGCATCCACTAAAGGCAAGCATGTCCTCCTCAAATCGTAAATGCAGAGCAATATAAGAACCAAAGGACCTCATCCGATCAACTAACAACTACAACATTAATGAAATAAGAAAAAACTTTAAAAATGGTTATAGAGCATGACAAAAAGTTACATAGACACTACAGAAATCAAATGAGTGTTTAGAATTAAGTATTTACTTTTCCCATTGCTTCAATTTGAGGTGCAAAGCGTAGAGCTTCATAACAAGCACGACAGCGAAGCTTCTGTATATCTAGAGGTAGGTTGTTATTTGCTAAGCGAGAATCAGATTTGGCAGCTCGAATAACCTTAGGAAAAGAATAATATGTTTAACACGATGATTTTCAAAAAAGAACTTATAAAATAAATTGCATAAACCAGAGTGTTCCAGAAACCACACCTCATATTCTTCCCAGAGGCTAGCTATCTCCTCTTGGTAATAATCCATACCAGACCAGCTTCTAAAATGCTTAACCGCTCTGGTACCAGTGGCCAGTTCCTTAGGTAGCTTTGTTATAATTTTGACATCATCAGCTAGAGCATTGATAAAATGATCTTCATCGAAAACATCTGAGAAGTTGCTGTGTAACAAAGAAATGAAACAAGTTTTTGCATCACTGACATAAAAGCTAAGAAAAAAGAAAGAATGACTCAGTAAGTGAAACAAACCGCAGTGCTACCTAGAGTCTTTCCAAAATGATCGTTTATCAAGTTCTGGAATTACTAGAGTGGCATTTATGATACGGGCTACAGCTACCATGTCACATATCTGCAATTCAAGGACAAACACATTTTAGCTCCATGCAACAGTAAGATGATGATATTCATCAAATAATGGATAATTCATGATAAACTTTTCATATACATATAGTCAAACGAAACATTCTATGGCTTCTTTGTGTAGACTGAAACACAACAATCAGTTAGGCAAATACATTGGTGGCATAAAGTGTTGCTGCTACACTGCAGCGCTAAAAATTGGGCAGTTTCAAGGTTTTCTGTCTGTTAAATCATGCATTTTATCTAAATATTACATAGGTACAAACATAACCTCACAAAAGTCCACCTCTGTTCAGCCAAGTCAAAAGTGTGCACCCATGAACTCCATATTTATTTTTACCACATGCACTTACAGAAAGCTATCTTAAGTGCATCAGTCAATCAATTAATGCAACTATTTATTCTGCATAAAAATAATGGGAGAGGAGCTTAGGTGCCTTATTTAGTACGGAGAAAGAGACGAGGAAAAAGGCTTATTTCAACGCTTATGGAATAAATGATAAATTGGGAACTCTATGTGACATATTAGAGAGGACTGCCGTTGTCCAAGTTCTCTTTCTCCTATGATCTACCAATGAGAAAACCAATAAAAAGAACTTCTGTTTCCAAAGCCAAAATTTTGACAGGATCAATGTCTAGCAAGAAATATTCAATGAAGTAATCAATCAACATATATTTCACAGAACAAGACATATAAGAAAGGAGTGTTTACAAACCCCAGCACGCATCTGGTTGAGCCCACCATTTGTATGAACTAGCAGGTAACCACGTGACTCTGTAGGAGCTGAATAAACAACAGCAAAATAGATATTAGCAACACCAAGGATATGCCTTGGCTACATAATAGAGCTGAATTAGTAACTTACATGTATAATTGGGACTTGGCTCTACACATGGCACAAAATCTCGATTTGGTGGAGGCTTCCATAGCTTGTCAGTTTCCACAGTCCCACTTGAACCATCCAACTGTCAAGTCTAAAGGAGTGAAAACATGAAAGATGCATAACTTTTTCACATGAACAAATGTATCTAAATCTATAAGAGTCAGAACTAAGTCCTCAGTGCTAACTAAAGGGGTATAGAGCATTTTCTTCCCTCCAAAAAAAAAAAATCAGCATACACAAATTATATCCTTGTTTCTTAGTATTTTATTCCCAATTGAAGTTTAGATTTTCAAAACTGTTCTTCTTTATCTTTTCTCATTTGTCACGATTATCAGTCATCAAACGCAACACATAAAGAAACCATCAATTATATAAGTTATGATCAAAAGACAAAACCTTGCGAGAAGGCAGAGGTGCTTTCAACAGATGGGGCGGGGCGAGCTCCAGTGTCCAGCTTTGCTCAGCGCTCAACTTCTGGTATTTAATATCATGTTGCTACAAAATAAGTAAAACATACAATACAAACAAATTCAGATCAACCCACAAAATATTTTCCAGAAACAAAATGTAAAAGGCAAAAAAAACACACTTTATTTTCCTTTTTCTTTTTAAGAAACAAAAACACTTATGAAAGAAACTCCCCATATGGGAAGTCAATCGTAGTCAATGAGCATCCACACCTAATCCCCAATAAACATAACAAAATGAAACTAAAAACAAAAACCACTCGGATATTAAGTCAAAGATCCAGAAACACATACATGGTAATAATAAAAAGAAGATTGAAATCTACAGCCTTTTTATATATAAAAAATTAGCAAACCCAACAGCATTTTCAGCGGTACAAACAAATGGTGATGATCAAAATCTAAATCCCACTGATTGTGGAAGAGGGTACAAAGAAATTCTCAACAACAACAAAAGGAAAAAGAATTTAAAAGATCATGAAATTGAATTTTTTGCTTTTGCTTTTTCCGAAAATAAGAGAAGAAAGAAAAAGAAAGAGAAAACAGAGAGGGGTTGGGTTTGGGGATCACCGTGGGAAGCTTGAAGGGGTCAGAGAAGTTAGGGACCTTTGAAGAAGGGAAGACAGGTACGTGGACAGAGAAGAGAGCCACTAGCGCTATTGAGCATATGGCGCACGTTAGCACCTTCCTCAGTGCGGTCAATGCTATCCACCTCTTCTTCTGCATCTGGGTATCTAAAGCTCAGGCATTCAGAGCCATTTTTGCACACAAATCCAAACGAAGAGAAGAATGTGAATAAAAGACTGCGTCTTTGGTTTGTGGGTTTTTGTGGGCTTCTTGGGTTCGTGGGTTTGTGCGCTGAGCTGAAGCCGGTTCGGCTGAACTCGGCCAATTGTGTTTGGGTTTATGCTGTTTTTGCTTTTTTGCTTTTCTGGGTTTTTGCCGCTTTGCTTGCTCTTGGTAGTTTGGTCTGTTTATTAGCAATGGCAAGCGGCAGAGGGAGTACCTATTCGGTTACATAAACGAAAACGAATTTAAAGGAGGAGGACAGAAACAGATGGTAATTTCATTTACTTTCAAGAAAAGATTGTTCCCCATCTAAACTTCTTCTTCTACTCTGTCTCTCTCTCTCTCTCTCTCTCTCTCTCTCTCTCTCTCTCTCTCTTTCCTTTTCTATAATTTATTAAAAAGAAAGGCAATAATCTAGTAAAAGAAATTTTTTTTTAATGTTTTACCACTTAAATCATAAACCCCACAAAGATTATTTCTATTTCAAATTTGATAACTTTCCCCTCAGAAATTAAATGTTTCTAATTCAAAAATAACAAATTTATTTGAATTTGAGTTAAATTTTTGTTGATAGAAATTTAAATATTCTCTAATACTCTTTTTTTTTTGGATAAAAGAATTGAAAAATGATGAATAACATAAGGAGACATTTGATCTGACTAAGAGATCCTATCTTAAATATTGTGTTCAATTTGAACCAACGCATATGATATTAAATTAGCCTAAAAACATTAGTTAAGTTTTAGATGATGAATATGACAATTATGGAAATGCATATACATAGGCTAAGCAAAATTTATCTATTAACTACAAAGGATTTGTAGATTAAGTGATTAAGAGAACTACATCGGAGATGTGTGTTGGGTCACTTTATTGCAAATTCATCATACTATAAGGTAAAATTGAATGCAAAAAACCCGCAGTGATTTTGAGTAATTGTTCCCCCTCTAAAGAAAGGTCATGGGTTTTGGTCATAGTATTTATATAGTGTGTGTGAATTTAGTATATTTTCGCTCATCTTAATAATAAAAAAAGTCCTTAAAAAAAGGGTAAAATCGAATAAAAAATAAATAAAACATAAAGAATATATAATTTAAGTGGATAATGAATTAAAATATAATGTTAATAAATACATGTGTTATAATATTAGTGGACTATAACATCATATGACGATATGATACATGCACCCAAGAATTTCTTGGACACTAAAGTTTAAAATTAAATTTTAGACTCCAATTATATTTGGAGTAATTTACGTACGTAGAAAAGTTTTTTCTAACTCATATCAGTGAAGACGTCCTCAGCTAGGAATGATATGCATGTGGCATTAAAAGTGGGGAGTTTCACTAAAACACCCAAAATGGAGGTTGAAATTATAAAAAAACCCAACACCCAAAACACTTTATAAACACACCCAAAATCCATCATTACACACACTCAAAACCCATTTATAAACACACCCAAAAAGTTGACTTTGGGGTTGATTTTGAGTGTGTTTCTATGTTTAAATAGTACTTGGGTTTTTTTATAAATACATGTCTAGGATTGGGTTTATTTATAAATTTGTATTAAAAGTGATCGCAACCAAAGCCATGTGTACAAGTGCTCATTGTACAAATGTTAACAAGTGATCACAACACAACCAGCAGCTCCGGTAGATGCGAAAATTTGGTTTATCCTTCAACTTGGGCTAAAGCTTCTGTTTTTTTTTTCTCTCTCTCTTCCTAATTAGGATCTTAACCGATTAAAATCATTTTAAAATTAAATAACTCTCCCTCACCTTTGACCTGATTCTATGATATTATGCATGTACATAATTTAATCAAGATAAATATGAAAAATAATTGCGTTAATTAGGTACGTTGTGAGTTTCCCTAGGTTATATGGCAACAAAGTCTTCTACCGACCTGATAAAGCCGCAGGAGTGGTGGGGGTGAGTGTGGCCCTGTGGATCTCAAGACGATTGAATCAAGAGATGAGTTGCATTGATGGAGAGGATGGTCTGCATGTGCCCCCCAGACGACACTCATAAATTAACTGGATTATGATTCTCTCTCTCTCTCTCTCTCTCTAGTCGCGTGCATTGCACTCGGATCCACAAGTCTTAACATGTACGTATGGTCTAATCTTACATGGTTTTCACATCAAAACCTAATGCACCATGTAACTCTTTCAAGCAACGCGTTATTGTTTTGATAGAGATATGTAGTTCAAATTCATAGTCTGACTACGGTAGTATGAAAATATGATAAATGCCTCACATTGGAAAATTGATAAACTCATACTAAAGGTTTAGAAGAAGTTGGACTTCCATCATTGCCAATTGATTCTAGCATAAAATCTTAACTTTTTTTATGGTATTATGTTAGGTCTTTCCACTTATTAGACTTGAAATGTCTTCACATGTGCAAAGTCGTGTAAGAATGTGAAAAAAAATATCCTATATTGAAAAGTTGAGAAACCTACTAAAATCTTATAAGGAGCTATAGATAGATATTCTACTTGTGTCACGTATTTGTTTTCTTACTTTATCTTTGCAATATTTTACTAATAGCATTACTGCTGGGCTATGTTTCATTGCATATGGGAAGAGAAAAGTTATTTTTAACATGTACTACGATTTGGAATATGGATGAAACTCCATGCCCATGTCAAAGTAATGCTTGAAATAACTAATATATATACTCTAGAGAATTCAATCATGGTCAAGGATTAGGTTAAAAATCTAGCACGTGATGATCTTTTACAACTTTTTTAAAATTTGTTTCTTGCTTTTCTTTTCCTTTTGAATTAGATTGAAAAAAAGAAAAAATTTGTGTGTACGAACATACCCACGAGATGAGAGAAGCCAGAACACAAGGGTTACGGCGTCTATGAAAAGGACTCCATGATTGCAGAAATATTGCAAGTTATATATAGGTCGATCAGAAATGTACAAAGAAATTTCATTGTCTGAACTGTACACCAGGACAGGACATATCCAAAATAGCAGCCAGTACCAGATGACGAATAAAACTAGCAAAGAAGACAAAAGTGATATTTGGAAAAGCAATTTTGCATTAATCTTCAAGGCTCTTTCTTTGCCTCAATAAACAAGCCCTTCTTGTTCTCGTGAGTCTCACCCCTCCTCTTGTCTTTCTTCACTTTGTATAATACAGTAGCTGATGAGGGGCCCTCTCATGTGACATTTTTCCATGTGTAGACAAGAATACAGTAGCTGGAAAGAAGAAGAAAATTAATTTTCCAAAAAAGGAGACATCTCACCCTCCTTTCATGCATTTTCCATTTTAGATTTTTAGGGGTAGAAGTATATATACGCAACCTGAGGTTTACCGCTGCATGAGGAAAAAAAAAACGAAAAAAAAAAAATTTAGTTAGAGATATATATTTTTTTAATACATGACATACAAATTTACGTATAGATGTACAATTTTTGTTACATTCTTTCCGTATTATATATAATTCTTAAACCGTATTATATATATATGTGTGTATGTATATGGATAACACTAGTTTCTAAAACTATATGTGTGTGTATGTATATCGACCATGCTTAAATCTTCATCTCCTATAGTTTAGATTATCGTTTATACTAATATATATATATATATATATTTATATGTGATGAGTCCCTATCTAGTGACGATCAAAAAATGCCATGATCTAAAATACATCGTAGGCATCATTTTTCTGGAATTTTGTTTTTCGAGTGAACTAACTGTAAAACTTAACTAGACTTTCATAGCTCAACACTAACCTTGGTCTGACATCTTGGTTGTAGAGGATCTTCTTCTCTATGCAACTCTTAGCGCTATTTCTCTAGATTGGGTGAGAGCTGTGTTTTAGCGTATTTATTGCTAGAAAAGGGACCTCTATATATATATATATATATATGCATCACTTGAAAGCCTTGCCCATCAAGGAGCTGTCAAGTGTTCTAGTTGCATTAGGATTAGGTTGTTCAATCCATATAGAATTAGGAATTCCATTATCTCTTGTACTTCAAATAGAATATGTACAAGAGTAATCCAATAAGTCTTGAGTATATTTTTGAACATGCAAACCTCTAGAATCCTTACATTACATGATTAGAAGACCACAATTTCATGGTTAAGACAAATCATTGTCTTACACTAACACAATTTCGTGGTTAAGACAATGATTTGTCTTGCACTAACTTTAGAATCAAGATTCTTCCTCAACATTAATAATTTAATACGTGTGGTTAACCAATTGATCAAAGAAAATTACATTACGTCTCATACATTAATCGAAAACACAAGAATTTCTTAACCAGTTTGATTACGTTGCTTAATCAAATGCATAAAAATAATTTGGTAATTAAGTCCATGTCAAAGTAAATAAAAACCAAAGATAACTTGCAAATGCAATGCCCAAAAAAAAGTAGATGAAAATACGCACACTGAGAAAGTAAAAACTTTGGAAATATTCACTTAAAAAGATGTGATAAAAAATCTAAACGACATAATTAAAGATAACACGTGATTAGAAAGCACTTTGGAGTGTTTAGTGTTTAGTGTTTGCGTTGCTTCCTCTTTTCGTTATTCTTTTTTGTTGTTGTGGTGGGTTGAGTTCTTTTCAAACGATCAACTTTCGACGTGGTTCCGAGGTAAGGCATCACATCTGATTACAAGGCTACGTGTCGTGTGGAGACTGGTCAAGAAAAATCTATGATTTTGAATGTATTGTTTAATTTTGAAGAAAGCAACAACTTTGGTTCGAGTTCAACAATTAAAAATAAAAAGGGAATAATTGTGCAATACGTGGCAGAAGATCCATGCATGAAGAATTGAAGAGCAAGTGGGTCCCTCATTCCCCCCTGCACAATTTTGCTTGCCTTATTTTGAAGAAGCATTTGACATCAAGAAAAGAACCATGGCCGCAGGATCTAATACATTTGATTTTGATTTCATGAATAAACAACAACAATAATGAGCACATGTGATGGTGTGAAGATCGATCGCCAATCTAGGCACTGATTTTATTTATCTTTTTATAGTTTTATAAACATTAATATTAGTCACAGACGTGAATTAAGTCACCCGAGTTTAATTCTTCTTTCTATACATGAAAATAATTTAGAATATTTCTTTGAAAAGAAAATTACTATTAATCTCGTGCTGACGCAAGTGCCACTAGACTTGTTTTTTAGTTCTAAGTTTATTTCTTATTTATAGTGAATTTCTGTAGACTCTTGTTTAACTTTTTGTTTTTAATTTATGTAATTATTTACATTTGTAATATATTAGTGTTTTATATATTTGTTTGTCCTTTATAATGAAGTGGTTTGTGTTTGTTTTTCAATTTTTCTTCTTCTTAAATT